CCCCCCCCCAAATGGCACACGAAAGCTTATCCCCAGAATAAAACGTTGTTGGTCTTAAAGGCGCCACTTGGACACTCAGCCTTTGACTCCTGTAAGGGATTGCAGATGATGGGAAGATCCTTTGGTCTGACATTTCCCTTCCCTTCCTTCTCGCACCGCAGGCAGCTGGCAGTGTCCGACTCCTCCGACGAGGGCGTCCCTTAGTTGTCTCTTTTCTAAACTGGAAGGCCCAGGGTTGAATGAGAGGTTCCTTTGCCAGTGGCTGGTTTCTCTCAGGGTGTAGAACTTGGCTCGGTTGCTATATTCTGCGAGTCTCCCTGCTATCCAGCTGTCTGCTTCAGGAACGTCATGGGGTCTGTGGCTCACTGGTAAGAGCATTCGCTTGGCATGCAGAAGGTCCCGGGTTCTTCTCTAACCACGCGAAGGAAACCCTTTGGTCCTGGCATATCTAGAAGATTCTCCGCAGCGACAGCCGTTTCCCATGGCACTGCAGGTGTGCTCCCTTGATGCAGGAGCATACAGGAAGCTGCCTCATACTGAATCAGACCCTTGGGTCCGTCAGGGTCAGTACTGTCCACTAAGACTGGCAAAGGCTTTCCAGGGTCTCAGGCGGAGGTCTTCCAAATTACCAGCAGGGCCCTTCTGATGCTCCCCTGAAAGCCTCGGCCTCCATGCCCTGTTGTCGGCCACCCATCTAGTCCAGCCTCCTGTCTCACACACTGGCCAGTAAGATCAATGGATAGCAGCCAGGGGTCATTTCCTGCAGGAGCGCACAGGAGCGGAGCTCCGTCAGTAAAGAGCCCAGGGGGTGGGCACATGCAACAAGCCCCACCCCCTGCTCCCAGCAGCCCTCGGTCAGAGCAAGAAGCAGCCAGGTAAATTGCAGAGCCCCCCCGGCCCCCCAGTCCAAAACAGTCCAGTGGTACCTTTAAGACCAAGTTTTATTCAGGTAGAAGCTCTCCCTCCTCTGCGAGGACAGATCTGCACACACACACACACACACACCAATAGCTAACAATCCAAAAGAATCCAGTGGAGCCTAACCGGTGGGTGTTGCCTTCTGACACACTTCTGGTGATGTCAGGGGGTGTGGTGTATGCAAATGAGTTATGCTAATGAGCTCCTGCATCTCTTTTTCTACGAAATGACCCCTGATAGCAGCCAATGAGCACGTACATGCAAGAGCTAACAAAGAAATTTGAGAATGAAGCTAGTGCCCCCAAGACAAACCACGCTCAACTCTGTGGACGTGGGGGAACAGAGACTCAGCGTGTGCACGCTTCTTCACAGGCAGCGGAACAGATTTCCTCAAATATTACATGCAGACGGAGGGGGGATTAGAGTCGATGCATAAGTAACTGACCAATCAATATAGCCAGGGGTCATTTCGTAGAAAAAGACGTGCAGGAGCTTATTTGCATATACCACCCCCCCTGACAAAGGCATTTAAATCCCCACACACACACTTCCCTGAGTTTCTCTGCAAAAGTGGAGATGCTCAGGGGGAAGGGGGGGGCATGTCTGCCTGCCTCCACTTCCCTTCCCCAGCCAACCCGCTGCACCTAGAGAAGATCAGGCAGGGAACCCAGGCATGTTTAGAATTGCTAAATCCCCCCCAGGCTGGGGGGGGGGGTTTCTGCGGGCCTTCCCTGGCCCGTCTGTCTGGGCGGGTGGGCCAGGAAAGGCGGGGGGCGCCCCTGGGCTCCTTACTGCCAGAGCGTATCCCGGCAGGAAATGACCCCTGAATATAGCTAAGATTGGAATAACACATATAGTAGGACATGAAAATAGCAGCAAGTTGTCAAACAGATACCAAAGGAATTAACAGCAGATGTGAGGTGTAAGGAGGTTAGTTACCAGGAAGGGCTAGTTAGTTGGGCATCTTGACTCTAACTAGCCCTTCCTCCACTTGCACCTGGCTGGATGACCTTGGGCAAGCCGCAGTTCTGATAAGAGCTGTTCTTGAAAAAGAGCAGTTTCTGTCAAGAGCTCTCTCAGCCCCACCTACCTCACAGGATGTCTGTTGTGTGGGGAGGGGAAGGGAAAGGAGATTGTAAGCCGCTCTGGTGTGAGGAAGTCTGTCTCAATCACGTGTGCACGGCACATGAAAGCTTATCCCCAGAATAAAACCTTGTTGGTCTTAAAGGCGCCACTTGGACACTCAGCCTTTGATTCCTGTAAGGGGTTGCAGATGATGGGAAGTGGGTCCTTTGCTCTTGGCCTGACATTTCCCTTCCCTCCCTTCTCGCACCGCAGGCAGCCGGCAGTGTCCGACTCCTCCGACGAGGGCGAGCTCTTTCTCAAGAAGCAAGAGGACTTTGAACGCAAGTACAACTTCCGCTTCGAGGAGCCTCAGGCCCAGCTGGTGAGGACGGCGTCCTCTGCTGGGGGTGGGGGGATCTCTGGGCCTCAGGGCCGGGATCTCGGGGGGTTCCCTCTAGGGCCCTGCCGGTGCGATTGTGGAGAGGGGGAAGTCGGTCAGGGTGGTGTCAGTGTGGGGACTGGAGACTGGTGTTCTGGGGCTGTCATTGGAAAAGGGGTGCCGGAACAAAGGCCCCCGTTGACTCCTTTTCCTTGCTCCTCCCACCTCGGCCAGCTGCAGTCGCACCCCCGCGTTATCGCAACCTCCGTGCGACAGAAAGATGAGCGCCGGAAGGAGAAGCGCTCGGAGATCCGTGAGCGCAAGAGGAAGGTGAGTCCGCCTAATCTGGGGGTCCGCGTAACGGTGACCTGGCTCCGCTGGGCATGTGGGCGCTGGGATGGCCCGTTCTGTGAATGGCTTAAGCCGTGGACTCTCCCGTCTCGCAGGCCAGGGAGCGGAAGCAGGAGGAGCTGAAGCAGCTGAAGAACCTGAAGCGTCAGGAGATCCTTCAGCAACTGGAGAAGCTGCGTGAGATCACGGGCAGCGAGACCCTCCCCTTCCAGGAGGAGCACCTGGAGGCGGACTTTGACCCCGCCCAGCACGACCGGCTCATGGAGGTGAGGGCACATCCCCCCACTGCTTGAGGCGGAGACGTAGTGCATTCACGCAGTGCTCCAGAATACCTGGTGGTTCCCAAATGCGGGGCAGTGGGGTCTCCGCATTGAAGGCGGGATGCTGAGAATTTGCTAGGTGGCTGCCTAGGTCAGGGGTCCCCAACGTGTGGCGCCCACTGACACTTTTTCTGGCACCCCACTGGGTGTTTTTAGGTGGGGTCGGATGGGGCTTTCTGCTCGGCCAGACTTCTGATTGGCCGCTGGTGATTTGATTGGCCAATGGTATCTTCACTCTGTGACTGAAGGTCAGCCAGGGAAGCCATTTTGTGGCTGGCTCCGCCTCCTCTGGCAGCCATTTTGTGGCCACGCCCACCACCCTGTGTCCAGATTCCAAAGGTCCCCACAGGCTGAAAAAGGTTGCCCCCTCCCCCGGCCTAGGGGAGTTCATGACAGAGGCAACGTTTAAACGTTCTTGGTTTCCTTTCTCGCCCGTCAGAGGTTCTTCTTCACTGTAAGCTGCGTGTGTACCAGGGCAGAACTGAGAGCTCTTTGTCTGCCTTGCTGGTGGATTGGCGAGTTGGCTTGTTGGCGTGTTCATCTGCGAGTGCCCAGCAAAAATAGCTCTCCCAGCGTTCTTATATAGAAGGTCCTCTGCCTGCCACGCTTTTCCTGCTGTGCAGGGAGGACTGGACGGCTGGTGCTCAAAGGCTTCTGTGAGTACGACAGAATGTCCTGTGGGTGCCTCGCCAGAACTCGGTGACGCATTTCCTCGTGCCCACCAAGTGTTTTTAGACCTTGCAAACGTATCGCTATCAATCATAGCCAATGCTCCCTCTAAGCTGTGGAGTCTTGTGAGCAAAAATCCTACTTTGTGAGCTACTGGAATTAAAGTTGTGAGTGAGCGATTTGGCTGCTGCATAAAGTAGTTTGCTCTGGAGCCTTCCTTCCTGAGCTAAGGTAAAGAGGTGTGAGCCGGAGGCTAAAAAACTCTGAGCTGGCTCATGCTAACTCAGCTTAGAGGGAACAGTGATCACTATCTCTGTTTAAAACCTTGTGCTTCATGTCACCTCTGTTAGAGATTCCTGTAGTCCAAACCAATGCTCCCTCTAAGCTGTGGAGCCTTGTGAGCAAAAATTCTACTTTGTGAACTACTGGCATTGAAGTTGTGAGCCAGCGATTTGGCTACTGCATAAATTAGTTTGCTCCGGAGCCATCCTTCCGGAGCTAAGACAAGAATGTGTGAGCCGGAGGCTAAAGAACTGTGAGCTAGCTCACACTAACTCCGCTTTGAGGGAACGCTGATCAGAACCAGGGAACAGTGCTGAGAGGTTACACACACGGGACTCTTTGCTTCAAAAGGAAGCAACGTTTTAACACAAGCAGCTTCCTGCCATGCTTTCTTTGTTTTCTTTCATCCCCGACCTTTCTGCATGTGCACATGCTTGCTTTTCATAGCTACCATGGGTAACATAAGGGAGGCGCTCTTTTCCCCCTGTGCAAACTGGCTCAGCCAGGCAGCACTACCAGTGTAACCTTGAAGAGAAGGGAGGGCTTGCATTTCACTATCACTATTGGTGTGAATACTTCTGCTCTCGGGGGTGGGGAGAGTCTCCCGTTTATGATGTAATGTCCCACTGGGAGAATTCCCACGCGTGCTTGGATTTCATTTGCTTAGCTAGATGAGGCATCAGGGTATATGTATTGAGTCCCTTGCACTAATCGTCATTCCTGACAATGTGCCTGTACTACTTGGCAACAGAACAGTATTCCAATAAAGCATAACTTTTCCTGAAGAGTGTGTTTGGACCTGCGTGCTGTTGACCCTGACACTTCTGGGGAAAGGCCTCAGACATGCTGGGGGGGGGAGGTCATGTGACTCAGGGCCCACATGCCCCTGGGTCCTGGGGGGTGAGCGGGTTCTAGAAGGTTTGTGTTTCTCTTCTCTAGGAACTCTTTGGAGACGAGTATTATGGCATCGACGAGACAGAGAAGCCCCAGTTTGAAGCCGAGGATGGAAGCGACGGTGCGTTGAAAGTTTTGGGGCTGGGGGGGGGAGTAGGTGGGCGATGCCTGCATGAAACTCTTGACGGTGGCCTTACAACCCTCCTCTTGGAGCCGCTGATTTTTAAGAAGGGGGAACTAGACAAATTCCCAAAGGAGAGGAGAACCAGTATGCCCCATGAGGGGTGAATGGGACTCCCACGTTTGGTTGGAGGGAGACCGAGTGGTGGAGTCTGATGGACCCCTAAGGGCCTCCGCCTGGCTACTGTGGGATGTGGGAGGTTGCTGGGCCACACGTGGCCGTCTTGATTTGCTCATAGACTTTCCAACTGGTTCCTGTCAGTTCGTGGGGGCAGGGTGGTGTTCTGCACCTACTGCTGGTACTGCGGGTGTGTGTCTGGTCAGGAAAGCCACTCAATAGAAGGGAGGTGACTAGGGACCAGGGCAGAGTACCGGGAAGCTACGCATCACCCAGATGGAGCTGAGAACCTCTCGGAGAAGCTGCCTGTACAGTTTGAACTGAGCTTCTGGCCCTGGGTGCCGGCGTGACGGCTGCAATAGAAGCGGAGTTTCAGGGGTCCGTCTTGTAGGGCAGATGCATTTAAAAAAAAACTGAGGATCTCTGCAAAACTGCTCCAAAGGTCCCTGGCTCCTGCCAAGAATTTTCAGGAAGTCGATGTGGCCAAAGCTCCCTCTCAGCCGTGGAGTCTCGTGAGCAAAAATCCTACTTTGTGAGCCACTGGCATTAAAGCTGTGAGCGAGCGATTTGGCTGCTGCATTAATTAGTTTGCCCTGGAGCCCTCCTTCCTGAGCAAAGGTAAGAATGTGTGAGCCAGGGGCTAAAGAACTGAGAGCTAGCTCACACTAACTCAACTTAGAGGGAACAGCCCGCCACCAATGCTCCCTCTAAGCTGTGGAGTCTCGTGTGCAAAAATCCTACTTTGTGAGCCACTGGCATTAAAGCGGTGAGCGAGCCATTTGGCTGCTGCATTAATTAGTTTGCCCAGGAGCCCACCTTCCTGAGCAAAGGCAAGAATGTGTGAGCCGGAGGCTAAAAAACTGTGAGTTGGCTCACACTAACTCCGCTTAGAGGGAACACTGGTTGGGGCCAGGTGGGGCTTTTGCCCGGCAATGCTACTCATTGGCTGTTGGAGACTTGATTGACCGTGCAGATTTTTAAAACGTTGCTTGGGCAGCAGCCGTCGGCGCAGCGCAAGGATCTTCACTGGGCGGCTGAAGGGGAGGCGTGGCACCCGTTTTGTGGGTGGGTGTGCCTCCTGTGGCAGCCGTTTTATGCCGTGCCCGAATTCCCGAGGTCCCCAGAGGTGCCAAGAGGTTGGGGACTCGGGCTGTAGAGGCCCGTCCTCCCATTTTTCTTTTTCTCTTGAAGCCGCTGCTTGGCTCCAGTGTTCTCTCTAAGCTGAGTTAGTGTGCGCTAGCTCACAGCTTTTTAGCCTCCAGCTCATGCATTTTTGTATTAGCTCAGGAAGGAGGGCTCCAGAGCAAACTAATGTATGCAGTAGCCAAATGGCTCGCTCACAACTTTAATGCCAGTAGCTCACAAAGTAGAAGTTTTGCTCACAAGACTCCACAGCTTAGAGGGAACATTGCTTGGCTCTCGTCCTGTAAGTGGCCGTGGCAGACCGCATGAGTCTGTGTTGCATCACAGCATAGGTTGCAGGACCCCCGTTCTGTTACGTGTCACCAAAATGACCGTGCGGGTTTCAGCAAGTGGCAGAACCTTGAGTCCACCACTCGGAAAACAAAAAGCACCGATCTTCTTAATTTTCCCAATCCAGACGAGTGGAATTGGGATAAGTGGACCGGAAAGGAGGGCCCCGAGTCCGAAGCGGAGGCTTCCCTGCAGCAGACGGAGGAGCACCAGCCGCACTGCGAGGATCCCGACTTTGTGGTACATCTATCTATGTTTTTACTGGGTGTCGGGCAATGTTTCCTCTAAGCTCTGGAATCTTGTGAGCAAAAATTCTACTTTCTGAGCTACTGGCATTGAAATTGTGAGCGAGTGATTTGACTACTACATAAATTAGTTTGCCTGGAGCCATCCTTCCTGAGCTAAGACAAAAATGTGTGAACCGGAGGCTAAAAAACTGTGAGCTAGCTCACACTAACTCAGCTTAGAGGGAACACTGGTGTCGGGTGTCCCTGGTTACCGGGGTGGGGGGGAAAGACCGGAGGGAGGGGCTGTTCCTTGATCCGGCAGAGGCTGGCCAAAGTGCCCCTCTGAGACAAGGCATGC